CTTTATCCTCTCTTGTCCACAGAAAGGAGTTTGTTCCCACTAACGATTGAAATCCGGAATCCAAGTTCTACCAAGAGAGAATAGATCATAGTCTTTTGGTTCTACTGACAAAGACTTGAATCCAGTACCTGGAATCTGGAATTACTTACCTAATTTATTGTCTTTTCTTAGCTCTGGTGGAGTTGATAACTTACCGTTTTCAGTGTCTGGTTTACTTTCTTTTTCAGCTTCATGATATCGGGCGTTATTAATTCCTTACCTACTTACTCACTTGCATTGGTTATTTACGATGCATGTTTTCAAGATTTGACTGAGACGCACATTGAATGGCTTCCTATTGTCAGGTTGTCCTGGTTGCCATTTAGGTGAAGAGAACGAGAAGTTATATTGAACACTCAGGGTTGCCGTCTCAGTTGTAAAAAGAAAAGCATTAAGCGAAAATCTTGCTTCGAGGAACAGACTCCTTTCTGTGGATTATTACTTGTTTCCATATTAAATTCATGCCTTGAATACCGCTTGAATGAAGTTTCATGCGCCTATTTACCTTTTCTTTCAGTTTTGCCGAAAACATTTGTTAAATATAAGAGTTCTCGTTTCTTCTACCGACAGACTCGTAGCTTTTTGAGCCCGAGTTCGCTTTTTTTAAATAAAGGCTTTAAGTTGTTGTAACGTTTATAATCTGTAGTCTATGAAGTGTATCGCATATTTTTCAGTAAATGAACCCCTAAGCATTTGTGAGCAATTCATAGACAAGAACAAAGCAATGGTAACTTATGGTAACTTTTTTATCAGATGCTGTTATGCATAAGTATATTCAAAGCTTAATTTACACATAACTGGGCCCGACAGAAAGAAAACAAAATGAACTTGCGGTGAACGCAAAAGTCGGCTAGCTTTTTCTTTTAGGTCTTTTCTTGAGACATTATTTTGTTGACTCTCACATCCGTAACCTGTAAATTGGCTACCGTAGAGTATCGTGCATAAAAAAGACTTTTTCCCTTTATATCGTGTTCATGTCAGTCGTTTTCACTCAGCTGTTACCTCGAACCCCAAAACATTTTCCCCTGCCGCGACATTGGACCCGCGACCGCGACTTTGGACCCGCGACCGCGACATTGGACCCGCGACCACGACATTGGGCCCGCGACCGCGACTTTGGACCCGCGACCCGCGACCCGCGACTATTAGTCAAACTGTACTTAGTATTGAGAAAAATCCCGTACTCGTAGTCGCACTCGTCTTAGAATCTAAAGCTCTCTATTGTGGTAGGTCGGCCAAGCCTCAAAGATAAGGTTAACACTGTAAGTTTCTCTGACTAACTTTAGCATATTATAGACGTTCCCTGGTTAAGACAGCTGTTAAACTGGCTCCTGAACGACTATAGTAACGGGCAAAAAAAAAAAACAGTGATTCGTTATTGACAAACTACTAGTCAAGTTTAGTTCTCTAAACAACAATTTCATTTAATAATGAGACAGAGACAACAAAATATTAATTATATTCAGTCTCCTCTTCCGTACGTTCTTTTTTCAAGAAGTCTAAAAAATCTACCTCATAACTCGCGCCTCAATGTAGTAAGCGCCATACCTTATTTTAAATTCTGTTTTTCAGTCAAGGCTTTACGAGACGTTTTCTCCAAATTTACGTTTAAATTGCGATTCTAATGGCGAGTAAACATTGCTTTTACAGGTAAGCAAAACTATCCAAATTTTGTTCCCTGCGAATGATTTCCTCTAGGATCTTTCTTGGCATTGGTATCCCGAGCAGATCTGCAACAATTTCTAACTCCTCTTTAAAATCCTGTAAATAGCTGTCGTCGGTGAATTTCATTATTCGCCTAAACTGACTCTGGATCACATAACTTGTACATGACTTCCACTGAAAGTACGTGTAGTGTTTTTCTTTAACCGGAGGTGATATTTGCGGTGGCGGTGGTATATAAGGGGGGAGAAGACCTAAACGGTCTTTAACATAAATGGAGATGAAGCTCATTATTTCATACTCGCTTTTCTGATATCGTTCCTCTTTCTGTGCCTCTGTAAATCCTATTGCAATGATGGTTAGTATAATGTTTAATATGAAGAATACATTGGTACATGTAAACGCATAGGTGAAGAACGGTCCAACTTGAGATGTTGTGAAAGCCTGGCCAGGTGACAATAACCTGAAGCTAAATTTTCCTAACAACATAGCGATCATACCGTAAAATGTTCCTCCAAATGTGCTAAAAACCTCTGCTACTGTTTTAAGCATGGTGTAGGCCCAAAAAGTGTAGCATAGCATACTGACCAAAAACACAAATGCAAAGCCACAAACGTCTTGACGAATTCTCTCAAGAGTTCCGTAAAATATCAAAAAGTTCCTGTTAAACTTTAAAAACTTCATAAATTGAAGGCAAGGGATGATAAAGATTAAACAGGACATGTAAGCTATAAATTCATCGTATAATGAGACTGTCAAAAAGTCATAAAACTTGTCGGGGTTTTCTCGAATTGCTTCAATGGCGTTGCTTAGGTGAAACCAACGAACTGCATATAAAGCAATTGTTACAATTGAGAAAACGATCAGCAAAAGATCAGAATAATTCCAGAATGACGTGAAGTAGCTGCACCGATCTCGATAGATTTGATGTCCCACTCGACTGATAAGCTGTGCTACAAAGACAACGAATATCACTTCACAAGCAAGATACATGAACTGCAGGGGAGTATAATAGCGATACAAACGAAAAGAATACATATCAAAACGTGGTAACGCTCCGCCATAAGACGAAAATTCTACGGAAAATATCAGTGCAGATATAATGTTAACATTCGCGTTGTAGATTGAAAACTCAAGAAATACCACTCTTGTTAGCCGGTCAACCCAATGATGTTCTTTTAGTGAGTTGAGTAGTTGAAGAGTAGATTGTCTTTCACTTGTCAAATAAGCAATATAACCTCCACCATAAAAGGCATTTGTTCTTCCCCATGAGGTATAATCAGTTTTGGATTTTTGTCCATCCACATATGTCCGTGGTGATGACTCATACATATCGCTTTCCTTAGACACTGTGTTTTTCTTCCACCCTTTACGGTACAAACTTTTGTCTTCATTGCTGTTGATTAGTCTCACGGGATGACATTCAGCAAAAGTATTCTTGGCAATATCAGCAACCTGGCAGCTCGCTGAGAAGGAAATAAAACGTCAATTATTTTTGCCTAAAACATATAATGATTTTCTTACATATTTTTCTAAAATCACACATCGGGGAGCACTATGTACGTCTGATAATTAATTACTAACAATAGCTAAGATTATTTGAATTATTAGTTATTTAAAATATTTCTCCGTTTCTGATTGGCTCAAATCCCGCGGCTAATTCTTCATAATTAGCTGGCGTTGACCAAATTTGGAAGACGTTTGCGATATGTGAAAAATGACGTTAAAACCGAGAAGCTATGGGACGAGACTGCGTTTTTTTTTAGTAGAGTATTACAAATGGCGGAACATTTCTCACTTTTCGCGAAGAAGAAAGAGCGGAATTGCTCCCTAAAATCATAGGAAAAACAGCAAGAATACAACTCGGCCTAGGTGGATACACTCCCGAGATCTCCATAATTGTTCGGCCTCATCCAATAATTGTTAAAAATCCATTCAGGTTATTTCTCCGTTTTCTACTCCTTTAAATCGGCTTCATTTCATTCCTATGTAAAAAATCCTTCATAGCAAACCCAGCCTCATCAAAAATTATTATTATGAATTTAATTTCGTTTTCAAACTGTTCGTATCATTTACGATTGAAGTCAGAAAACATTGGCTACAGGTCATGGGAGGTCAGGTGGTTTTGTTGTTCGAGCTTTGCTTGGCCTCGTTGATAATTCAGAATGAATTTATCAGTGACAGTGAAATATACCAGATCAGGAATAAGAGAAACAGAAAAGGCCAAGTGAAAGCTATTTTAAAATACGCCCGGAAAAGATTTTTTTTAAAAGCAGATTAGTAAGAAATAATAAGCATTTTTAAAGAGAAAATTACACTGTATTGAATAAGGGAAATGAAGAAATAAGATGAAAATGCAAATGCAAAAGATCACACGATCAACTTTGCTGACAGATGAGCTGTTCCATTGTTGACTCTGAGAGGGTAGGAATACTTTTGCTTTTTTGTATTCAATAGAGATGAAAATTTTATTCAAACGAATTTTTACATAGAGCCAGGTTTTTAAGGAGACAATTGGCACACTAAACTCCCAGACTCAGTGCATGCACTGTCGCTATTGTTCAAGGCAAGTTATTTGTCTAAAATGATTTGTTGCAGAGTTCCAGACATCTATTAAGAAAACGTTTAGGTTAATGCGATCATGTTTATAGCCGTATTTGATGATAGCCATAGGAGTAAAAATACGCTATTTGTGTTTAATTTCCCATTAAAAAGACAAAGTACCTCCTGGGTGTATTCTCTGTTGTCGAACAATGGCAGTTCCAAGCACGTACGAGAAGCCATCATTTAGAAAGTGACGTCTACCCTCGTTGGGTGTTTTGTCAAAAGGATCATACAAGAGAACTGGAATGGTATCATTCATGAGCCATTTCCAAAACGTTTCGGTGTTTTTTACCTGTAAAATAAAAATAAGTACTCTAAAAATTCCTGTACGGAAAGATGTGTGATGTAAGGGATTTTATACCTTGAATAGCAATTTCCCCGCTCCTGTCGTCGGAATTTTGTCACCGAAAACGCCCTAAAATAACTACAAGCAAGGTTTTGTTTGAAGCAAAATAACATGCTAAAACGTGAATTTCTTAGAAAAGGTGAACAAACAAAAGCCGTTGCACGCGAGGGATTGCACTTAAAACTGTATGATACAGTTTCACGTCTTTTCATCCTGGTCACACTTCCCAAAATACACCTCAGTTAATATCCTTTATCAGTTCTTTGGTTTGGTTTTTTGTTTCTTTAGACTAAAAGGTATGTATGCAGAAGACGACGATAAACTTTTTCAATTGTTCTTTGGTATTTTCTTTCATAAATGAAAGACTCTGGGCAAAGAAAGATACAGCAAGGTACAATTAACAAACCAGGAGTACAAAGAAGTTCACATGCCCCTGCATACATCTTTCAAATGTCGATAAGTGGCTATTGTGAAATGTAATTTAATTGTATTTCAAGGGACTAAGGGCCTCTTCACATGAGCCCGGTTGACCGGGCTGGCTCGGTTACCGGGATGAATTTTGCCTTGGGTTCATATGAGAAATTTCAGCCCGGTTTCCAAGATGAAAAAAGGTCAAAGATCCTGGGGACGAGTTTTGGCGCCAAATTTGGGAAACAAAGCAAACTTGGAGAAAGAGAAAATTTTTTACTTTCGGGCTTCGGTAACTCTTAAAGCTGTATCACTGCAGTTAAATGGGATGCTTATGATGTGTAAAATACAGCAGGCAATGAAAGACGATGCCATCTGGACCACGAGAATTTACCCCGCCGTTCATCCCGGTAACCGGGATGAAGTGTTCATATGGCAAAATTTCCAGCCCGCTTACCGAGATCTCGGGAACCGAGTCAGCCTGCCCTCTCATATGAACACATCGAAAATTTTACAAAGGATTTAGATGTAACGCGAGATCTCGGAAACCGGGCCAGCCCGGTCAACCGGGCTCATGTGAAGAGGCCCTAAGGGCCTTAGTTACACAGTATTTACGTGATATTAACAAAATCAAGAGGAAACTAATTACCTTTTTATAAAAGCTTTTGCTGATGTTGAAAGAACTCTCGATCCCACTTCTTGAAGGATAAGATAAGGGATCCCTGTTCCCGAAAGATATGAGAAACAGGAGCACTAAAAATAGAACATCAAACACTAGCATTTTCAAAACATCTTCCAACTCCCGCTCCCTCCCTGCAGATTCTTGCGCTTTTTGTATGTCTTCTTTAGTCGGGGGCCAAGGAACTTCCTCTCCATCTTCTCCAGCCATGATGACTTCGTCACTGTAATATTTTATAGTCCGTTCATCATTAATCCACACTTTATTTAAGACCAGTTCGTTAATCAAATCTTCTTCTTTAACTGGCCTTTTGTACCACGTTGTAAAATAAAGCGAGTGTAAGAAAATATAAAGCACTTCCAAACCAAAAATTTCAAATACCAGAGCAATTGCAAATGTTATTATCCAGGAGGTTACCATAGAAACAGGCCACTGGATGCCAATCAGCAACACTATAACAGTTGAAAGCAAAGGAATAGCAAAACATTGGACTTGAGTAATCTTGAAGACAATTTTGGGGAGTTTGGGCATGCTACCGCTTATCTTTTTAATACTGCAATCATCGATTACGTGACGCGGAAATGGAAGTTGTTTCCACAATTCTGGAATTTCATCGGGGCTGGTAACCGTTGTAGTCCAAACAACTGATTCTTGGCAAGAATTGTGATTCTGGAGTAAAGATTCCTTATTGTGAGTAGCTCGTTTTTCTTCTATTGGTTCCTGCGAAGAACTGTCGTTTGGAAATTTGTTCTTCCTGTTGCCAAGAATCTGCATAAGTTCATCTTTTTCAGGTAAATTCCCAAGAACTTTAAATAAGTCTCTAAGGTCTTGGGCTTCGTCTGAAGAGCAAAAGTTCTCGGCTTCGCTTTTCTCTGCTAACGTCTCAGAGAAATACTCCACGTCCACGTCGTTCAGGCTCAGTCTTCTTTCTAAGCTATATGTTTTGGGATCACCTACAAATTCATTTTCATTTTGCTCTTCCTTAGAGCTTGTGAGTTCTTCTTTGTCATTGATTTTGTCGTCAGACGTAAGAGTCTCGCCTTGAGATGTTAGAGAACATTCACCTTCGTCGGTCACTGTACTCTCTCCCACGAATGTGATTCTCTTTGAGAATTTAAGAAGAGGCTTTCCAGCAAAAGGCGAACAAGGAAAACAACTGCACTGCACACAATACCTCTGTAAATATCGTCAAGTTTTAAATTCCATGGTCCTAATGACACTTTAGCATCAGAGAAGATAGTCTGGGTTGTTTCTACCAGGGCAGTTGCAATCAGTGCCATCGTTGAAGCCAAGGCTAAACAACAAGATATTTTTTCAAATTTGCCAAACGTTTTTCTATTATTTGGAAAAAATGGAGAGAACCAAAGATGCTTGTTTTTGAAGTTATCATTAATTTTAGCATTAAACAAGGTCGTGCTTTTAAGAAATGACCTTCTTTGTAAAGGTTGCAACTTGCACCCAACTTCCTTTGAGCCAGTGCTAACATCAAGCCAGCGATTTGCCTCAAAATACCACGTGACATCTGTGTTCAGATGGCAAATTACAACTCTCTCTAAATACCATGGGGGATTTGGACCAGAGATGTCATGCCAGATATGGATTTCTCGTATCTCGTCTAGAGAACGGCTTAAGGTGACGAGGAAAGAGCTCACAGAAGAAGACTGAAACAGCGGTCTGTCAGGGTCGCGAAGCACAATGGGTTTTGACTTGAGAACATTTCCGTAGATTTGACAAAATACATTTGCAGTGGTTGCACTGTGTCGACCAGATCCTGTGTAAAACATTAGTAGGTAGTGCTGTGGTCGACGATGAAGAGATTGTTGTGGAATGACTGTGACACCAGCCTGTTTGATATAAAACAAGAAATATACTACTGTGAAACAATTGATATTATCAGACAATAAAGGAAGAAAAAACCTTCGCGCACATAAAAGAAATACAACACGGCTCTTCAACTACCAATAAACAGTTAATAGGGAGGGATGACAACCTACGACGTCACAAACTTGAAAACAGAACCTACCAGATAGGGGGAAAGATACTTTCAAGAGAAATGTGTAAAAGTATCTTTGATTCTCTTGGAGCAATCCTTTATTAAAGTAAACAATTTTTTAAAAGAAGCTTCATGATAATTGATATTTTATCGTCCAGTTCCTTAACTTATCTAAATATCTTTTAAAACGACTTTTAATCGGTTTGTTTAACTTCTTTACCGTTTTCTTCTCGTTGTTCTCTGTTTTCCATGCCCAGAACGTTCCTGAAAGGAGCGTCGTCATGGTGATTCCCAGAACTCCCAGAAAAACAAGCGTCATGACAGTGTCTGCGCCGTCTTGAGACTCCCCTGGAAAGATCTCGGATGTCAAGTTTACTGGGTTTGTCATGCTAATCTAGTTTCCCTGTGAAAAAATCAGGCCCCAGTTTTTTAAAAGGTGGAAATCGCTATTCATTTGATAAATCTCTATTTAGTGGATAAAGCCGGTTTCCCAAATACTTCTCAGCTGGAGAGTGATGTACCCGATGATATAGTGTTAAGCAACGTTTAAACTACCGCAGCCAGGTCTAATAAAGACAATAATAAAAGTTTTCATATTTTCTACTCAGCATAGTAAAAATACATACACTCAATTGCACTAATGTTGTCAAAGAGAAGCAGAAACTAGGAAAATAGAGGTTGAATCCAAATAGGAATTAATTAGCAATGCGAGATTTTCATAATACTGAAAACCCTTTCGTGGGTTACGGTATAATTATACTTCAATGTGAGTTGAGAAAAGATGAATTGGCCATTATAACGATGTTTTCTGCTTCATTCTATCGTCCGACCAGATCAGTCCATGAATGTAGGGAGCGTGTGTTATTCCTGTTAGCTCATTTCAATTCTGTTTTTTTGTTTTGTTTTGTTTTGTTTTTTTTTTCCCTTTTATTTTGCCGACAACGTTTTGGCAATTAGGTGTACACAGTATATTTAAATATAGTTATATACATCCCAATCTTTTCCAGTTCACGCACTTTTAATTTCTACCAGTAGTCTCATGATTTCATTTTAGAAGATTTTTCATCTTTATTTTCGTTAATGATAAATACTGTGCTATCTAGAAGCTCATGACTATAAAACCGTTTAAAAACTGATACCTGTTAAGAGGTGTCCAAGGTATCACGCGACATTTAATACGTCCGTTTGAAGTTCAACAGTTGAAGTCACGGAGACAGTGTAGTGTAGTGGGTTTTGAACGCAAGTAGCAGTCAGCTGTCTTTAAAAACCACTGGTCGTGGATAAATATTGGTTAAATATGAGGCGAGGTTTTGTAAGGATATGGTGGTATAATTTTATTAATTTGCATAAAGCTCTGAGCGATCTATAAAAAAAGGCCTTGACGCTCTAATTCTCATTTAAAATTAATCAATTTAAAGGGGACAGACGGCACACTGTAGTATATCTATATTCTTCATATTTACTGATATCCCGTTGTTCATGGTTATCATATCGATTAACATTCTTTATAAATAGATTTTTGCTTTGAAAAATTGCTTTTAACAAAAGTTCGGACAGTTTAGGCAAATCTTGTGGCTGTTTGCCAACTATTTCAAAGTTGTCACAAATATAATATATGTACTGATTTTATACAATAGGACTGAGTATATCTCATTCTTTAGCACGCACGCATTAACGAAATAAACGTTAAGTATTCAGGTAGCTGATGAAGGCACTGGTAGAATGTCTAAGCTTTTCAAGACTGTAATTGCTTGGTTTTGTTTACAGTATTTTACTCATGAGTATTTTTAATTAGTATTAAGATGCAACAACCATAAACGAAACAGCTATAAGAAGCAAAAGTCAAACAAATTCGAGTGAAATTTTATTTAAAACATAACCAAGACTGAATTCACTAGTATCCCTTTTAGCAATGTAACCGCAGAAAGGATTTCAGTCTTCGTTTTCTTGTGTTCTCTGCTCTTAAATTTCAGCTACATTAAGCAAGTTGAAAAAGTACAAAAAAAGAATGGAAGTAGAGCGTTTTGTATACCGTCAAAGGTAATAGTTTTAAATATATTTTAAGTAAATGTGTTTTCAGCACAAAAACTAGTGGCGGACACTAGACCGTACCAAGTTGTCATAAAGAGACAAATGGTTTTACAGAGTCAGCTTTAGACCCGATAAAGTTTTTGTTAATTGGAGTTGCTTAACGCAGGTAATAATTTTTTTGCTGTGGTGACTCATAATAGTCAATAAGTGAACAAATTTCAACTTTCGAAGAAGAAGCTCTTCACCCTCCCCCCTTATGAAAACAAAACCGCCTGTACTGAGATATGTTTGTGCAGGCACGCCGGTTTTGCGAGCAAAATGTTTTGAAGAGCATGCTACGAGCAATTATAAAATTAAATTTCGAGTCATTTTTATCGCCAATTTATTTTACTAGACAAAACTGCACGCAGGTTTGTGGGCCTTACGGTATCGATTTAGTCAGTAGCCACATTTTTGCGCTTACGTTTTAAAACGTATTTCAGTCGCTGCCGATAAAGTATAGTATAATGTGTGAAATATGACCTAAAGAAGATTTATGCCCGTTTGGAAGCAGTTTCGCAAATTGCAATTCAACTGATTGTATTAACACTTGGCGAGAGAGGGAACGCTTGTGTTATAAAAGGTTGCCTTGATAATATTCCTTTCAAAACAAAATAAAAAGATATCATTGTCTTGAATTGCGTTTAGAATAATGATATCTTACCTCAGTATCGCCGCGGAAATGCTAGTGTATATACTATACCAACTGGTTATATCTTCTTCGTTAATTTTCAAGCTGTTGGAAACTACCAAGGCTGGGAAAACCTCTCAATAACTCAGCAAGTGACGCCACGGGCGGCGAAAAAATCCATTGTCACAGTGACATGCGGTTTTATACCGCACTTGGCATTAAAATATGTTTTTACACTTCGCCGGAAGATGTTCTCCGTGTACGTGTGTTTGCCGAGTCAGATTATTTTGAAAGGTGAAACACGTTTTTGGCTGTTACATTTTACCGTAATTAAAATACGAAACGCAGTCTTGGCAACATTCTTATAGTTTAGTGTTGCGGTTTCTGTTTTTTTATTAAAATAACTTGCTTACCAAACGTACTCAAGTGCATCATCAAACAGTACAAGAATAGTTGTAAAGTCGAAATACACCAAACCGTAAAAATACTTTAAAATAAAAATGAAAACTTAAAAGAAAAGAGGTAAAACAAAGCAAATAGCAAAACAAACAGGAAATTAGCAAGGCTTAACCAATTTATGGCTTTTAGCAGCGCAAGCCGGCTTCAGAACCTCAACA